TAGTGGCCATTTTGTTTCATTAGGTTTAGAACAATTTTGGTAATGGCCATTATTTTTTCCTCCTCGGACACTGCACCACTGACCTCTGTCATAATCTGCTGTACTACAGTCACTACTCTCAACATATTGTCGAGAGATGGACTGTTTACATGAGTAGCCTGAGTTGACTGACCTTTTTTTGCTCCTGTACAAGGACCGGGACGCTCGGTTTCGTGGCTTCTGGTGGGACTGCCCATGGAACTTGGAGAGTCTGAGGTCGTTGCTCCTGCGATGTGCTGCCACGGAGCGCTGCCGCGAAGGAGACTCCAGGGGTAACGATATTCGAGGAGAACACCCTTCCCGTCGTAGTTTTGGGTGCTCTCTGCGATTTCCTCCTCTGCAGTTCCTCCCTCGCGTGTCTGCAGCCCCGATAGTTGGCGGGATGGGGCTTCTCTCCTTCCTGCAATTCGCAATTGCAGCAAGCTGGAGTGGAGGCAGCGTTCTCCTTCTCAGGACACTCTTTGTGCAGGTGGCCACCCCCGCACCACATGCAACGGGGAGGTTGTTTGCAATTGGCCCAGACGTGGCCAAACTGTTGGCAGTTGCGACACTGCGTAAGGCCACTCTGTGCTCTATATTCCTCAACCCGAATTGAAATGTGCCAAAGGCTTTGAAGATGGAAAATTTCTTGTGATTTTGCCATCCGGGGTAGGGTGATAAGGAAGAGCGGAAGGTTTCTTGCTATCCTTTCGTCTGAAGGCGACCCGCGGGTGGTTATCTGTTTAACGCTGACCACATCAAATCCCAGGGTCACCAGTCCATCAGATATATCCTCCGCAGGGGTATTGTGAGGGAGGTGACAGATTACGGCCTTTATGGGTTTTAGGGACTTCGGAAAGAAGGTAAAATATGAAAGTTTGTTGGATAGATGGGACTTGACGGCTTCGAAATCCGGCATGTTTTTGGTGAGGACTCTGGTCCCGTTTCTGGTACTGCGGAACTCAAAGTCGCCTTTGACAACATTTTTCAGTTGCTTTTCCAAGTGAATGAGGTTCACTGTGGTCGTTAGAATTATTGGGGATGGCCTGCCTGCTCTGCCTGATGATTCCACCTCCAGAGTAGTGAACTGATTGCACCGTTGGCTCCCGGTCTTAAATAATGCCGGTCGGGAGGCGGAGCTAAAGTTTCAGTTGTCACGGCGCGCATCCATTGGGCCGTGCACGGAAAGGCGGGGCCATGGTGAAGTTTATAAATATATGTAGCTGCTATATAAGTTGTAGCAGTTGGAGTGGGCATATACTCCGTGTCGCTTTGGTCACAGCTGCCAGTTTGGCACTTTCTGAAAGGGGTGATGGTTGTCTGCCAGACGGTGTGGGGATGATCCCACAATGTAATGAGAAACAGCTACAGCAAGGAGAGCATATATTGTTTCATGTATGGTGTTGTACAGCCATGACTGATAGAAGATGTGATGCCTTTACAGAACTGTACAAATTCAGAGAACATTTTAGTGGATCCATGTGGTGAGACATACTCAGCAAGTCATGATGCAAGCCAGGCCATGAATATAAAAGCTGAGGAAGTCTCAGACTCTCAAGCGGATCCTGTGCAAATAACATTTCAGGAGATAAAGGCTGAACCTGAGGCGAGCTGTATGTTTCTGTATGTCCACTGTTAGGCAGATATCACAGATAGGCAGGAATTACAGTTGTCTTTCTCATCTCCATCTGTCTGTCTCTCTGTCTGTCTGTGCACATGAAGCAACTCCACTGTGCTGCTGACTGTCCTTTGAAGACCTTTTTCTGAAGTGTCTCTAGACAGTTACAGTTTGTTGAATGAATGCTGCATATTATGTACCACTTCCATTTCCTTTTAGAGTGTTCTGATATAGATGAAATTAAATTAAATTTTGTGTAAAGTGAACAGTGTTTCAGAGAAATTCTGTAGCAGCCAAAATCCTTAGGGAGTCACAGAACTGTTTGCAGTTGTTACTGGTACACTTACTAGAATCAAGGATTTAAATTACTAGGACTCTTGCATGCCAATTACAGTGAACCCCACATGATGCCATGATGAGCATGTGTGACCACAGTAATGAGCCCTTAGGTACCCTAAATAATATTGTGTGGAACCTGAAAGTTTATTAATGTGTTCGTAAGAACCTGTCATAGGTCCCTGTCCTGATCCATATGAATCCAGTCCACACCACCCCATCTTATGTCTCTTTAAGATACATTTAAATATTATCTTCCCGCCTATGCCTAGGTCTTGCTAGTGGTCTCTCTTTCTTTCTGGCTTTTCTCAACAAATCCTATATGCATTTCTCTTTTCCCCCATGCCTGCTATATGAGCTGCCCATCTCATCCTCCTTGACTTGATCATATAATTATGCTTGGTGATGAAGATTATAAGTTATGGAGCTCCTAATTATGATGTTTTTAGGCACCAAAGAAAGCAGATATTTTCTGTACAGCTGGAGTGACCATTTGTCTCTCGGTAAGGCCACTGAGCTATGAACCAAATACTTTCTAGTGCTGATGATAGCTGTAGAAAAGAACATTGTACAAAACAGCTCTTATGAGCTAGATGTGACGAAAAAGAGCCATAGCAAGGAGAGCATACGCTGTTTAATGTGGGGTGTTGTGCATCCATTTCTGAGAAGGATGTGATGGTTTTTACAGGACTGTACAACTTTGGAGAACACTTTAGTGGGTCCATATGGTGAGACATACCCAACACCTCATGATGCAAATCAGGCCATGAATGTAAAAGCTGTGGCAGTATCAGATGCAGAAGAGGAAGGGGATCCTGTGCCAATAACATTTCCAAAAGTGAACGCTGAACCTGAGGTGAGCTGTATGTGCACTGTTAGGCAGATAACACAAATGTGCAGAAGTGACTCTTGCCTCTCTGTCTGTGCATGTTGACCAGATTTTGAAGGTTTTCTTTTTGAAAAGTCTTTAGGCAACTGTAGTTTATTGAATGTTGCTTGTGATGTACCAGTCCCATTTTCTTTTAAGCAGATCTAATATAGATTGAATGAAATACTGTGTAAACTGAATGTTTGTGGTAAATTATATAGGAAAGATCCTTCACATTTTCCTTGTCTGTCCAATCCACTAAGCATTGCTTTGGTACTACATCATAGAGTTCCCAGGATCTATAAATGCTGAACTTTTATCATTTGTTTTCTGTCTTCAATGCAATCTATATCCGTGTAATAACATAGAGGTGTCATTATGTTGAGGATTTGTTATAGGATAACTAATGATTCTCCAGAGATTTGTGACGAGGTGTGACATATTATAGACACGTTGCCTGTTGCCATTTGTTTGAAATAAATTTAATATACCTGACACTGTTGGAGTTGCCTTGGTACCTGCTGTCAGCTGATTGGTTGTCATGACAAATTTTTGTGTTGATTTTTGTTAGATGGAAAGGTGAGTAAACATTAGATACAGAGAATGAGTAAAAGGTGTAAAAAGCAGTAGTGAAGAATTGGCATTGGCAACACATCCTAAAATATAGACGCAATTGTGGTGAAGTGGAATATACAATGAATGTAATTAAACACAAATAAAGCTATTAATGAAGATCAAAGAAAATTTCTATATATACATATAGATGTAAGTTTTTACTTTTCTTGGCCGGTTCACAGTGACTGATACACCACTGGCTGCAAGGCGCATACAAATTTTGCCACTGAATCAGTATGCCTGTGGCCGGTAACGTTTGGAATGAAGTATACAGTTCACAGGTCACAGAAGTTTTTGAAAATGCTGTCCCCCTACATGTAGACATTCCTTGCACCAGCAGAAGGGGTTTTGATTAATCCTTAAAGCTGTTGTGCAGGAATATTTGTAATTTTCCTATGAATATTTTTTTAATCTTCCGTATGGGATTGACTGTTTAAAACTTTGTCCTGTAAAGAACCACAGAAGAAAATATAAGAATTAAGGTCGGGTGAATGTGCCTGCCGAATACCAGTGCTGTTATTTCTGTCCCGAAAGACACCAGAGTAAGCTTGCATAGTCGTATGTGAAATGTGGGCAGTAGCTGAGTCTTGCTTAATTTCCAAGGGGCCATTTCCACATCCTAGGTTTGTTGCCTGTATGGATATATGGAAAATAAATGAAATGAATGAATTGCTGAAACCAGCCGTAGGATCTTCTGTTGTGAGTCTCGAAAGAATTGTCTGAGAATGACCTGTACATATTTTTCACAAGTAACTGTTGCATTAAAAAAGCAGGTAGAGCAATCCTTCTTGCCATTCTAGCATGCGAGAGTCCAACTTTCACTGGATCTAGCTATACTTCCTGGGTTAAGTGTGGATTCTGTGAATTCCAGTAGCAATTATTTTTCGTATTTATGTATTCCTGCAAGTGAACCCATGCTTCATCAGAAACAAATGTCGGTTCCAGATGAATCTCATCTTCAGTGATACACTGTAGAAACCAACTGCAGAAATGAACCCTGCTAGCTGGATCACACAGCTGCAAGGCATGGATTACTATTGTCTTATATGGTTTAAGCTGCAGCAACTGTGTTGCCATTCTTGTACTCTCCAGTGACACTCCAGTCTCTTTAAGGTAGACACTGAGCGCCCGGCACTTATTCTTTTGTTTTTGTGTCTATTAAAGGATCTCATTAATCAAAGTTTATTCACCAAATTGTGAATTGTTTGTCTCCTGGGAACTCTTTCATCATGAAATTTTCACAGGCACTTACTAGCAGGATTGTATGTGTCATACAGAAATACTCTTTGCTCTCAACCAGTGTTCCGTCACAAGGTGAAAGGTGTGACACGAACTTTTACCTATTTTAGCAAATTAATTGCGGAATTTTATTCGTTTTATTTTATCCCAGTTACCGTGTTTTATATGCTTGTATTTTATTCTCAGCCACTGCGCTGATTAAATAAGATGATACTTGTTTATTCTTTATTAAATGCTGATTTTTTATGTACAGTAATGTTGTCTTCTAAGAAATTAAATGAAAATTATTTACTCATAGTTGTTGTTATATCATAGTTTTCATTATTTATTTATTTTTATTTTTCTCGCATCTACGCAGCTTCTTTGATGTGCTTGCTGCATGTTCTGTGTACATGCTTTTCCTTAAAACTGCAGAGATTAGCATGGGTTTTCCTGTCTTTTATAACGCTGTTTCAGTATTTGCCCGTTTGTTAGAAGTTAGAGCTTCTTCAAATTTATGACTTTCATCTTGTAACGATGCACCCACCAATTGTTGGACTTCATTTAAAATTATAAATATTTCAAAAATAAGTTGGTATAGTGTCACTTCTTCCATTTGAAGAGTAGAGATCCCGCATTTTACAATTGTTTCAGTTCTATTGCAGCTGTGCTCTGAAGTTCGCAAATTTTGATTGCTAGTTAGAGAATTACAGACGGATCGTTTGAGATGTCCACGACTGTATGGCCACTTGCTGATGGCAATAAAGTGGTGATGGACACAATTAAAGAACATTTAGATATGCTGCAGGAGAAATTCAATAAGTATTTTGGAGAGAGTGTACAAGATTTTGACTGAGTTTGTGATCCATTTGTTGTGAATTCAAAACATCTTCCATTTAATATACAAAAGGAACTCGCAGATTTAAAAGCAGAGAGAACATTGAAACTAAAACTTCTCGAAGTGCTTTTGGATACGTTTTGGTTGTCAATAAGGAGTGATACCCCGCTATCTCCGAGATGGCAGTTAATGTGTTATTGCCATTTTCAACTACATATTTGTGTTAACTGGGCTTCTCCACGTTAACTGAAATTAAAACATCAAAGAGGGAGCGGCTCAAATCCATTGATGAAGAAATGAGACTTGTGTTGTCAATGATTCCACCATGGATCAGTCGCCTGTGTGCAACTATGCAGGCGCAAGTATCACATTGAAAGTATGAGAATCACTGTATTTACTTTAATAGTAATAGAAGTGTATTTTCTACACTCTACAGTGAATTGAAGTTCATTAATTGTTAATAAATGCACGAGTCTGTTTCTTATTTATATTAATTGTCCGATATCGTGCGTTTTTGAGGGGAATAACATTTTGGTGTGCCGTGTTGAGTCATGGATATTTCATGGTGTGCCGCGAGCAGAAAAAGGTTGTGGAACACTGCTCTAAACTTTATCGCATCATGATAGAACACAGTTCTCACTAATTGTAACAGAACAAATGACTAATGGAGCTGATAACTGCTGCCCACTGCTGACAAATCATAAATACACTGCCATGCATGAACCCCACCGCAAAACATAATCCCATCAAGGCATCCACAAAATTAATAACTTCCGTAAAACATTATCGACCATCAAGCGTGCTCATTCATTGGCAAAATTCATATTTGACTCACAGTCGGTGGTGTGCTGGTTGCCGCCAATCGCGTGAACCAGTCAATAACCATAAGAACCTCCCTATACATATACAACAAGATAAATCTACTCAAAGATAAACACAACAAAGACAAAAAGCAGTATTCAATATGAGGTGGTATCAGGTAGTTTATGGGCTGTTATTGTTGTAACTGCCTTAGTGAAAGAAGATGAGAGGGGAGGCCAAGGTCTCACTTCTGAAAGCTTGTTGCATCAGTCTGCCACGTTACACTATGCTGTAAGCATGCACTGTTTTTACTCTAGTGCTTTTTCGACTTCATGTTTCGTTTTGTCTGCAATAGATGGCAAAATGAAGCAATGTGTCTGTATCGAGTTTTGTGTGAAGCTCGGTAAATCCACTGCCAAAACTCTTGCAATGCTTTGTGAGGCTTTTGGGAGAACGTTCTTTAAGTGGAAGAGTGGTTTTTGAATGGCATTCACATTTCAAGGCTGGTTGAGTGTCAGTTGAAAATGACGAATGTACAGAGTGACCAGGCACCAGCAAAACAACAGAAAATGTTGAAGAATTCAAGAACTCATCCAGAAAGACTGTCGCCGAACAATCCATGAGTTTTCAGACCCCATTGGGATCAGTTATGGAGTTTGCCAGATCTTAACAGAAAATTTGAACATGCACCGTATTGCTCCATCATGACAACACACCTGCCCACGCATCCCTGAAAACCACAGAGTTTGTGACTAACAACATGGTTATCATTCCCCATCCTCCCTGCTCACTGGACTTAAACCCCTGTGATTTCGCTGTTTCCCAAATTGAAAATGAAACTGAAGGGACGATGTTTTGAAACAGTTTCTGACATCCAAAGGGAATTGTAAGTGGTACTCGGCAGCATTGAGGAAAATGACTTCCATGGCTCTCTTGAAGCGTGGAAAAAAACGATGGGAATTCTGTATATGTTCCCAAGGAGAATATTTTGAAAGAGATGGCAGACAAATTAAGTTAAGCCAATATTTCGTTTTTGACCTAGTCTGGGAACTTTCCAGTACCCCTCGTATAATATATGCATAAGGTAACCCATACACCAAGTCGGTCATGGTAGCCGAGCAGTCTAAGGCATACACTGTCTTCACTAGCTCAGAAGCTGGAATCATGGATTCAGATCCCACTCAGTGCATGGATATTTGGTGTGTGTGTGTGTGCACGCGCACGTTTTTCTGTGTTTCTGTACAGGTAGAGGCCTTGCGATGAGCTACATCCGTCCAAGGAATCCTGCCAAACGTCTGAGATCTGGTAAACCAAAGTGAACAGAGAGTGTCTTGGACATAGGCCAAGGCCTAAATTTGGGGCTGTAGTGCCAAAATAAAAAAAAAAAAAACACATGCACCAAACTATGTGTTAAACACTGTACATCTTCCTGTCATTAAGTTTGTGAACTGCAGTTTTATCGCATCATATTACAAGGTATTCACATACCCTTACAGAGATCTGCATCAGCCCTCAATATAGTTGCCATTGGCCGCTATGCAAGTCTGCCGAAGTTGATATAACTACCAAAAACGTTGCTGAAACATATTGGCAGGAAATTCCCATACAGCGTCTCTTGTGGCATTGATGACCTCCTTGGACAACTGAAATCTATGACCATGTATCTTTGCTTTCAAGTGGTGAAAGAGAAAGAAATCGCATGGTGCAAGATCAGGTGAGTACGGAGGGTGTGGCAAAATGGTGACCTGTTGCCTTGCCAGTTCCGCTTGGACAAGAACAGAGTGATGTGCAGGGGCGTTGTTGTGTAGCAACAGCCAGTTCTTGCTATGCCGAAGCTCAGGACGCTTACAACAAAGTGAATCGTGTAGACGGATAAGGAACTCCTTGTACCTATCCTTGTTTACAGTTGCTCCATGTGGGATAAATTCCATGTGAACAATTCCTGACAAGTCGAAAAACAATTCAAACATCACCTTGCCTTTTGACCTGTCCTGTCATAATTTCTTCTTCCTAGGCGATGATGGCGATTTTCAGGTGTCTGATTGTCGCTCCAATTGCAAATCATAAAGAACACGCCATATTTCATCTCCTGTAATGATCTGGTTGAGAAACGTCTCATCTTTGTCAGCACTACTGATCAGATCACCACAAATGGTCATGCGATCATCATGGTCTTGCATCAGGACTTGTGGAACACAGTGCTTGATAACACGCAACATGTTCAGGTGATCGGTGAGAATTTTGTGGCATGTATCATGACTTATCCCTACTGCTGCTGCAATATCATGTATCAATTGGGAGCAGTTGGTATGTACCAGTGATGCAACTTCTTCGATCTTGTGTTCAGTTCTGACTGCTTTTGTCTGACCACTACGCTCATCATCCTCCAAACTGTCTCCCCTGTGCAAAACGTTGGTGTCACTTAAACATGGCACTGTGGCCCAAAGCTTCTTCGCCGTACACTTGCTTCATCATGTTAAACGTTTCGCTAGGGAATTTGCCCGCTTTTTGGCAGAACTTGATGTTTTCCCATTGTTCAAACTGCCACATTTTCGATTTCTGCCACTCACATTTAACTTCAGTTCAAAATAGAGGCCGTAGTTCTCCGTACACTGTTTGCACACAACTGCCTCTTGCTGTGACGAGTGTATATAATATGTCCGTATAAGTATTACATGTATCATGATTACAACTACCAACTTCCAAGTACCATTGCAAATACAACTTTTTGTTGACTATGTAACCGTTCATTTAAGATTTAACTTTTATTGTAATTTATATCTGTATCCACTCATACCATTTTATACCACTGTATATACTTGGAAATTTAGTACTCTGACTTATATTTAGCATGCAGTTCAGTAACGAACTATCTAATGGATTTGCCTGCTGATGGCCTCAATGAAGGCCGAAACATGTAGCGAAGGTATCTTCGGGAGCTGCTTACTAGTGTTACTGATGTTGTGTTGTGACAGTTTTCAGTACGAAATAATATATGACACTGTTATGGCGTGGAGGATTCTCTCCACCTCTTCCGCCATCCATGCCGTTGCACCCTTGGGGAATGGCCAGTTGCAAGTCTAAGCGCTTGGTACTTGTCTCGTTAGTTACCTCTTAGCTGTGAGTTCACAGTATCGCTAACCTGGGAGGTACGGGAGATCGGGGAAATAGAGGGTGTGACTGTGGGGTAAGTCATTAACACACGCATCCCCCTTACTTGGTCTACTTTCGTCTACTAATATATACACTTATATACATTTCACTTTCATGGCCAACAGTGGCCGGTTATGTACATGTAATTCAGATGAAAACACACACTTGGGTTCACCATCCTGCTCAAGGCCTACTCGGGCCTCTCTCTCTGCCCTAACCATGTAAAATAGCACTTTAATAATATAACACTTTATATATCCATGACTGATATGAACAGTTTGAATTACTTGGTGTAGGAAGCTGATGGTGTCCCCACACTTGGTCTGGCATGACCATGGCCTCTGGCTGGCTACTCACATAACATTTGTCACTCAGATACATGGATAGATCGATTGATGTGTATAGAATGATATAGATTGATCAAAAAGATAGCTCCTCCAGTTGTGTCAGCTTCTTTATAAACCTTTCCTCTGCTGACTCCTGTCTTTGGGGTAAGCTCTGCCCCTTAATTAGAGTGAATTCTCCCTCAAAGGTCCATCCTGGTTGGTCGTTTCGGTAGAGAGAGGGTTGGATCTCCTCAGGCGGTCTCGCTGAGTTGGCTCTGACCGCCTTGGCCGTCTGTCGTCTGTTCTGCATGAATCAGCAGTCTAAGCAACGCGACAATTTTCTACCGATGTTGCTACTTCCTGCAGTCTACTACAAACATTAACACTTTGCCTGACTTCTCCAACTGTGAACCCAAGATAACTTAATACTTAAAAGTTACAAAAACCCTTGCTGAAATTCTACGGCATTACAACACACAACAGGATGTATTTATTGAAAATTACTCATGCCTACAGATTCACTGTACTCGGGCTTCAAATTCATTTCTCTTCCTATTAGGATTTTTCATGTTATTTACTCTCATTTTCCAGGGTAATTTGAATGAACTTCAGCCTGTACATGGTGAGGAGCAACAGTATTCCTGTGATGAGTGTAGTGAATCATTCAGTCAGCAGGTAATTCTGAGAGCACATCAGCGCACACATACTGGGGAGCGGCCGTTTTGCTGTGGCATATGTAATAAATCATTCAGTTCGTGGAGCCATCTGAAGACACATCAGCGCATACATAGTGGGGAGAAGCCATTTATATGTGACGTATGTAACAAGTCATTCATTTCAAAGGGTGGTCTGATGAAGCATATGTACATACATACTGGGAAGCCGCCAGTTTGCTGTGATGTATGTAATAAGTCATTCAGTCAGCAGAGTAGTCTGAAGAGACATCAGCACATACATAGTGGGGAGAAGCAATTTTGCTGTGATGTGTGTAATATGACTTTCAGTAGTCAGAGTAGTCTAAAGAGACATCAGCGCATACATAGTGGGGCGAAGCCATTTTGCTGTGACGTATGTAATAAGTCATTCAGTCGGCAGAGCCATCTGAAGAGACATGAGTGCATACATGTTGATGTGTGCAGTAAATCATAGAGCAGTAGAGACTGGTTTAGACTAAAGGAACAGTATGTGACTTGTAGCATGCCACAGTTTTTCATGTTGTAAGTAAGACAGTTTTGCTCTGTCTGGCATGCTTCAGTTTTGTAGAATGCTACAATATATTGGAGTTGATTCCTGTTGCTAACCTTTAGAATTGACAAGAAATAAACTGAGTCCCATGGTACAAAACATCTGTGCAAATGAGTTCCATTTGATTCTGATTGCTGAATGTGTACAATACCCTGTCCTGTTGAGTGGAAACAGACATGACATTCTCCTACAGTTATGATGTTAATTCAGCAGTGGAAGCTAATGATTAGTAGAGTGTGGTTACTGAAATGGATTAACAGCTTATACACATAATGGAGCAGCATTTTGTGTTTTTTTCTGTATGTTATCTGTGCTCTTCTGCCATTAATTTCAGATTGATATATCGCTTGGATTGAGTATGTTTAGATAACTACGAGGGTAAGTCAATAAGTAAGTTACAAATAGATATATAACTTAAACAAATAAGAGTACTGATTTGAAAAATGCTTTTATTTCTCAACATAACCACCCTGTACATTGAGGCACTTGTCGCATCATTTCACAAGCCCCCTGAAAACCAGCAGCATCAAATTCTTTGGGCTGCTGTTGGAACCAGGTGGTCACCTTAAACTTCTTTTGGCAGGTGATGCAGGATGATTCCACTGCATTGATGCACACTTTGTCTCAGGTTGGTAATGGTGAACCCAAGACTCATCACCTGTGACAGTTCGGGCTAGCATATCGTGTCCTTCATCATGGTCGCGATGAGATGCTGTAATGCCAGACCCATTCTTTGCATTTTGTGTTGTGGGGTCAGCATGCACAGACTTTGTGAAAACATAACCTGTCAGGCATTATGAGGTGGGCCATGCTGTGTGAACAACCAGTAGCAGTGGCTATAGTGTGTATAGTTACCCTTCTGTAGGGAAGTCACCTCCTGGTTCTGACAGCAGCCCAAAGAATTTTATGCTGCTAGATCATTGATGGTCATGGTGCAAGGACTGGGTTGTTATGGCCCGCCGCCCATACAATTATTCATTCATTCATTCAGGCAGGTTGCCTTTTGGTGGAAGAAGCTTGAAAAAGATCTTGTCGGCTTAGCAGATGAGGAACTAAGTAACTGCAGACTCAGTAAAATATCCAACTGTGCTGCCACTGGGTTCACTTTAAGCTCCCAGCAGTGCAGAATGTTGGGGGACCATACAATGGCCAGATTTTGAGAGGGCATGCCTGTTGTATGACACTGTTTAGCTACATGAGCCAAATACAGCAGTAGGGCACCAAGGGTTCTGCAAAAACAATGCAGTACAATCCCCACACAAATTATTTTATTGCATACACTTTGAAAAGTATGGTATATTCTAATAATCACATTAAATACCCCATACAAACTCATAAATTGAACATTACACCATAATATTTTAGAAACACGTTCTCTGCTTTAAATTTCCATGTCTTGTACACTCACCTAAGTCTTGCTGAAGTAGCAACTGAAAAGTATAGCATAGCCAAATAAGGAAGTTGCCTGACAAGATTTCAAAGAGGAAATGTGACCTGACCAAATATTATGGTTTGCAACACAGTTATTTTGAACTGATGGCATTAGGCTGAATTGCTGACAACCAGTTTCCTAAAATATTTCTTTAACAAGTGAAACGGGTACAATACAATTAACAGAGGTGAGCTATGTAAATTACTTGTCCATGACACAAATTTCTTTATTCAATAACAAGCATCACCAAAAATACCTCTAGTGTGGAAGTGGCAGTTTCTGCACAGCATGCTGCATGTGGAAAAGTCTGCAACCCACTTCGGGACTGTGCTGAAAGGCATCAACAAAATCAACAAAGGCGCGGTAGAGCTGATATGTGCACAGAGGGTTTGGAAGTTCAAGGAAGTACATCTTGAGTGCAGATGCAACGGAATGTACGTCCTGAAGAGGTTTCTGATATTCACAGACAACTGGCACCAAATGCTCATCAAATTCATGCCTGTAAAAAATTGAAATTAGCATTAGTAACCTNAATTTAACCCTCTGTTTAAGAGTTGGATTTCGTCTTGTGTAAAGTGTGTGTTTTTACAATTTTGTACACGTGTATAAGTTCAGTTATGTACACGATGTCAATGCCTCCATGTTCTCATCTGAGACAAATGTCTGTACTTGTGGAACAAGGGGCCAAATGCCACTAATTCCCTGTCCTCTAGTTTTCACACCTTTCAGCTTTCAGGACTTTGCTACATCGTGGGCTGAAGCTGTTCCCACACTGCAGACCCTACTTCTCATCCAAGGAGCCAAAGAACATAAAATAACAGAACTACACACTTCTCCATAAAAATATATATTTGTCTAATCAAGGCATATGGGGGAGCAGATGTACAGATCCACACTTTCTTGACCTCGGCACTAGTTGGAGGTGAGTGGTCAGCTTCACGCTCCAGCCGCTTTATCCCCGGGGAAAGAGCCCCTGGTACCCACTGAATAGGAGGTTGGGTGGACCCCAGAGCCGGTCTGGATGATGCGGAGAAAAGAAAATTCCTGACCTTACTCGGACTTGAACTATGACCCCTTGGCCATCCAGCCTGTAGCTAATCACTATACCAAATATGCTATCCAGGCTCTTACACATTTCTCGATACAAGCAGCAATACCACATATTATATCTAATAATGCAATTAGCGTAAGATACATTTGAAGGCACAAGGGAAGTGGAGGTAAGCTCCACATATTCTTTAAGTGCATGCATGTAACTTGATGGGTCATCACATCAAGCAAGACTCCTCAGAGAAAGCCACATCACTAGATAGCAAGTTTTGGGAGAGGTTCCGTGTAGTGACTGACACTCACTGATTCACAGTAAGTATGAGACAATTCTGTCCCTGCAGATCCAAGGGAACCCACATGCAGAGAGCTACAGTAGCATGGTCTTGATACTGATTCACTGTAAGCAGGTAGGAGAAACACATGAAAGTGGTGGCAAAGAGAAAAAATCCTACCCAGCATGCTTGCATACATACGTATACATTATATTACATTCCATTCCATGGATCCAAAGTTAGTCAAAAATGACCGTAGGATATGAGACACATCATAAAAAATATATATACATACAGTTCAACTAAACCTTTCACATAAGAATGCACACAGGTTACACATCAGGTATTCAAAAATATGCCCATGAAAATATATAAATATTGTGCTATTTGCACAAACATTCAAAAGTATGAGTTATTTCTGGACAGTAGGAACTCATAAGGAGGATCGAATGAGTGGGTATTTAACTACTCTTTTAGTGCTACTTTAAACTGTGCCTTTTCATTCATAAGACTTCTGAGACTAGATGTTAGATTTCTGAAAATTCGGGCACCAATACAACGTGCTTCTCTGAAAACATGAGAAATTAGCAAATGGTCTATGAGTATGGTGTTCATTTCTTGTGTTAACACTATGTACAGCTAAACCTCAACATTCTTAATTATCCTTCGCATCACTTCATTGTTTAAAGGTCCAAATATTCTCCTCAGCACCCTGTTCTCTGAGACCATCAGTCGAAGTTCTTCCCTAAATGTGACAAACCTAAATTCACACCCATACAAAAAAACAGGTAAAACTGTGTGCATTTTAATCTTAATGTTTTTATAAAGATGAGAAAACAAAAGATGCTGAACTGAATGACGCAAAACATTCCTCGAGCTTCATCTGCTCTCAATTTCATCCCAAATGCAATTCTGGGCCATTAGCATCGTCCCCAAATATTTTAACGTTACCACATTTTCAAATGATCTATTTGCTATATTTATGTTACACCTTTGCCCTACCTTTTGGTAAGAAGACATCAATATACATTTATCCATATTAATTACCATACCAGATCTACTATCATTGGTGGTACAAAGTCTGCCCCCCACAACAGCATAACAGTTACCTTTCTTCACCTTCAGTAACGCCTGGTTCGCAACAGTCCTAATAAATGAAAAACCAATTTACCTTCACACTCTCCATAACTACTTGGCACATGAACATTCGACATCCCACCCTGGCCACATTCTCCTGTGCAGCACGATAGATCACTGGAGGTCGCGGTGCAAGGGCCGAGAAGGCCCAACCCTTATACATTCAACATGTGGCCAGTGATTCTGTGCTGGCGTTTGAAGTGTATGGATTTCGTCAAAGTAGCCCCCTCACGTCTACCATACGCCAATCCATATAAATTCATGATTACAATGATCTCTTCCCCATAACATCAATGAAGGTATTAACCATGTCTTTCACCCAATATTATTTGTCATATTAACAGCGGACTGCGTTTTCGATACACCAAGAAGGTGGATATTTATTGCAAGCGACTGCATAGCAAAAACCTCGTTCTAATGTGGGTGTACGCGTTTAAAATAACACTGCATGCTTTTATTTACAATTCTATATTAGACAGTTCTGAATAAATACTTACAGATAAATCTATGGACAGATCGGTGCCATCTAGAAAAGTATAACCCTACACCGAACGACATGTTTATTAGGGATGATCCGTTGTGATCAAGATTTGACTTGTGTTGAAGTTTTTTGTGCATTACGTCCTCTTCTCCGACTCAAAAATCTCAACATTTTGAATGTGTCCGAGGCTTCGTAGGTGCACACTGACGTAACTAATATCAGCACATTAATATGGGGCACAACGTTGTATTTACTAACGTACATGTCGTAATATTCAAAGCTATAAAAATTCATCCCTATGAAACAGACCCTAATCTGCAAACCTTCCCGCCAAACATCACACCGCAGGACACGGAAGATAGCTTCGTTGGCCTCGTTGGCTCATTTCGTACACCTATGCGCACAGTTTTGCTCATTTCGTTGGTAAACACTCCCTCCCACCCGCTTCCGCCTACACTGTTCAGAACGTTCTGAAGGTTCAGAAGCCATCCGACGCTTCCGACCCGGGGCAGACAAGGGGAGTACTAGATCACCAAACGTCTGCGGGTGTATTATCTATGCCTGTAGGGTAACAGCAGGGGCGGCCCGTGTATAGGCACTGCGGAACTGCAGCACCCCCAATTTCCACTTGATATTATCGATAACATTTACATAATGAGTCATTTTTTCTTTAATTCTTTCTTTATACTTGTACAATACAGTATATAATCCTTAAGCTTAATGTCAGTAGCCAAATCTTTGTATGGAACTGTGAGTTTCACAGTTCCAACAGCGAGATGTTCGTTGACTGTGCGCATGCGCACATAGGAAGCTACACGCGAGGCTGCAAGGGAGAGGGAGCACTGCAGGACTGCAGGAACCGGCAGGAACGACCGGGAACGACAGTGCCGACCGGTGCCGACCCTGGCGTGTTGGTGGAAGGCAGTCTTTTTTTTTTACTTCGCGTGTGATGTGTTTAAAAACTATGAGTTAATTGTATAATTAGATTATCATCCTGCTTCCAGCTATTCTATTTGATTCATTTTTTTCGGTTCCTTTATTTAACAGAAAACTTTAACCATGGCCTTGCATCCCCGAGAAATAAGTTCTGCGACTGTAAGTGAACTTCAACAGCTTAAGTTTTCACAACTGTCTCTCAATGAGAAAGTTGCAGTTAAGAGGTCGTTTAACACCTGATATTCTAATATCTCAGCCAGGCATAAGCAAGAACAAGAAATATATTCGTAGCTTTAATTCTGAATGGTACAAACGGAAAAGTTGGCTTTGCGGCTGTGAAGTAAAAAATGCACTGTTTTGCTTCCCGTGTTTGCTGTTTGGGGGTGATGTAACGTGGACAAAAGATGGTTTTAGAAATATAAACAAAATTAAAGAAAAAACTGAAAAGCATGAGAAGTCATAGAAGCACGTTGATAGTATAGTTTCACTGTCACTTTTAGGAACCGTAAGTATTAAGGAGAAACTTAGTGAGGCATACAGACTTTCAATCAATGAGCATAATATAAAGGTTAAAAAGAATGGATTTCATTTTTAAATGAATAGATTAAGCTTGAACTGTAACAATTTAGGTTAAAGTAAGTAAAAAATGTTTGATTTTGTTCTTTTAGGATTTTATCAAGTTTCTGAATAAATTTTCTTTTTATACATGTTTGTTTCCTTTTATACAATTTTAAAACAAAGGCTACAAATTTTCTGGAGCAGCACCCCCACTAATTTTAGCTACGAGCCGCCACTGGGTAACAGTGCTCGAAAACAATGCATTCGGAGTTTTCTTCGAGCTCCTGTCAAAGAGGCTGTCGAAGACAGTAGAGCCGCACATGCCAGAACATAGTCTTCATAGGTAGTTCTAGGGTTTCTAGGCAGCAACTTTACGAACTAGCAAAAACTGGTACCAAACGAGTCGTATAATGTTTGGTATTATCTGTTTTCCAAGAGATTACCATGTAGAGAACTTAGAACAATTGTGTTTCTATTTTTTATACTGCGAAACAATTTCAAAGCATGAAGGAAAAATAAAATATGCTTCGCGCGTCCGAGGTTCAAGAAGGATCAAGTATGCATAAAACCTGTGCAGATCCGTCCAAGGTTGAAACACGATCAAGTATACATATGTAAATTTGAATATGGTGGCACAATTGTGGAAAAACTTTAAGCCCAAAAGATTTTGCGATCCGTGCTGAACTACCTAACTAAAAAATGTATTTTCAGATTTGTGACAGGGTTTCGTAATAACTACGCATGGTAATTCCAGAGCATCAAATTTGGAAACATAATGAAAGTTACAAGGCGTGTTTATACGGAAAATTACGGCGAATGTATGCGTGAAAATGTATGTCAATGTCAGACTGAAATTATTTTTAAGTCATTTTTCAGACTTCATTGAAGACCATATGTATGTATGAAATAACACCAAAGGTACAAGACATGTTTATACATGCACATAACTGTATCCAAAGACAGACTGAATCTGATTTTGAGTTTTATTTCAGATTTCGAAGAGCATGTGTGTGTGTGATATTACACCCAGTAATAATATAATTTAGAAAAACTATCAAGAAGAGGGAGGTACATAACCTACTAAGTAGTGCTGTCTCCAATGTTATATTTCAGCATCCTGTTGCGTAGAAACATTTTAATTGTATGGTATTCCGTCTGTAATGCGACAAAGTCAATCCTTTCTTAGAAGATACTAGAATATATTTGATTCATTAAAAATGGTTTGTTAAATATTTTATATGCACCTAATTAATGACATTTAAAATATTTAACAAACACTTTTTAGTGAAGTAAATATATTTTTGTGTCTTTTAAGAAAGGATAGACTTTTTTGCATTACAGATGGAATAATATGAAATGGTCTCCAAGTTTTACTGTAAATATATGAGCCTTAAGAACATTGTACTGCTAGTGATGGGACTATAGTAATACATAATTAACCACAAAATGTAAAACAAAAAGTACATGAGAAATAAACGTAATTGAGACTGACCAGGTGTATCCCACGTATTAAGCATTAAGAATGCTGTTTGATTGCTGATCACACATTATTCTTTTCAGACAATATGGATGGAATTCAGATCGATATTGACCTAGATAGTAAGTTTCCTTCGACGACAACAGTTTCACCTCAACTCATGCACATGGAACAGGAGAGTGAAGAGGAAGTTCATGTCCCATTTACTTTTGTTGACGTGAATGTGAGTCAAGAACTCTCTATGTTGATTTCTTATTAAACATCTCTGAGTTCTCTTACAATTTTTTTTTGTCTGGTGGAACAAGTTATCCTTTGGTCACCCATTAAATTCAGTGTGTTCTGCAAGGGTAATCAAATTAAGAATGTAAAATGAAATATTTATCTGATGGGGTATAGCCTGTAATCCATTGAAAGTCAGCTGAAATTTTGGACAATACAAGGTGTGGCAATAAAGAAACCGGATTACTTTTATGACNACCTGTAATCCATTGAAAGTCAGCTGAAATTTTGGAGAACATGTCAGAAGTAGAGCTTTGCTTACTGCTGCTTTCTTGCTTGGCTTATTCTTTCACCATAAAGATGGGAGCAGCATACTCCTCTGAAATGTCTGTTGGCTTTCAATAGACTACATGGTATTATAGCCCTCTTCATGATCACCACTGTCAGAACTTGCAAAATGAAGGTAAATATTGATGTTATTAGTTGCTTTTGTTACATTCCCTGTCAAGTGTTTCTAATTAGGTATAACTAAATTCATATGCTGAATAGAATCATAAATAAGACGAGCTTTGTTTCACTTTCCTCATCGATAGATGGGATTGAATTCCATTGTTTTACAGGGGCATACAGACATAGACCTTGAACTGGATGTAGACCCACATCCAGCATCTTCATTCTCTAAGATGAACTGTGAAGAGGAACTGATCCCTCTCAACTGTGACACACTGAAGAGTGATGATGAGGTGGGTTGTGTATTCTCCAAGCTCTTCAAACCTGTGCCTGCCATTCAACTGATGAAGCTGACTAGACAGTTCCCCAAAACCTGTCATAGTCTGATCTGGTTTAGAGGCTTGCTGTGTGCTGTAGCTTTTTCATATTACAAAGTAATTCAAAGTTCTATGGTCAAACTATAGGAGATAATTTGGAGCAGAGAATGTAAATTAAATGTTATTTGACTCACCCTTGTCAGGTTTTGATATTTCACTGCTTTTTTAAGAAAGTGAAATAACTGTCTCTTCATATATATAGATATATTGGCTGTTTACATTTAACATGTTTGTATATTGTTTTTAATTTAAATGAATGAAAGGCATATACTCTGAAGCTTTTAGCTCATTTCAGTGTGAATTTTGCATTAAATTTAACAGAAATGTCTGAATGTGTCATGCGGACATGCACAAGAGTTTGCTTTAAGTCATGTCCCCCAGCTAACATGCAATATTCAGAGTGACTTCTAATGGAGTTCCTGGTAAGAACCAGTTGTCTAGGTTGTGCTCCAATGTATGTCACAGCTACCAGGATGGAGTCAGGTTGTAATGTTTTCCTACTTTTATAGCATAAACATTTTCTAAGGAAATAATCAAGTGGATTCAGATCAGAACATGGAGACCTGCCAGTGAAACTACTAGAGACAATCCGTATGTCCAGAAAATTCTTTCATCCAATTTAGCACTTGGCATGAAAAGTGAATGGAAGCTGTAATGCCGAAACCACATACCCTCATGAATATTATATCTTTCAACAAACGGAAAGTGTTCATTCAAAGGAATCACATACTGGATTCCATCAAGATCTGTTACCACATATAGCTCAGTTAGGTAACTATGATTCTGGCCTAAAAGTTGCCATTAAGCCTTCATTGAAATGGTTTTAGGAAGGAAGGAAAGATTACTAGCCACTGGCTGTAGTGCTTGAACACACTGTACACAAAAATGATGCAACTACTCCTCATGCAGCATACACCAAACTGCATTCATAGAAGCCCAGTTTATATGCGATCTGACGAGTGCTATTTGATGGCTTAGCGCATACAGCATGCACAGTGTCTTCCAGTGGCCAGTGTGTGCTCGTGGCAGTAGTGTACTGTTTCAAACACACCTGTTAGGCTGTATTACAATCTACAGTCTGAATACCAATGCTGCTATTTCATCGATGCAGTTGTAGCATTTCCGTCACAAAAGCTGTACATGAAATGCAGCTGGCATCCTGTGTTAATAATAAATTTTTTTGTCTTGTTTTGCTGTTATCACTACTTCGTCAAGACAAAGATTTTGATGCTTAACTGTTCAGCATGGTTTGACGTGTATGTTTCGTCAGGCATTTAAATCGTCTGCGGGGGTTCGACGTCTATGTTTCGTCCAGCTGCACACCTATGTTATAACGCCCATAATAATTGATGGTTTTGCTGTAGATTGTTAGATTTTTTGCTGGCCTGTTGTCAGGAGAACCGTATCTAATGAGGCATTTGTTTAGCTGCGCTAAGTCATCGTTACATATGCCTGTCTTGCAGCAAAGTTCCTGTTGCTCTTGGGAGAGGTTTAGTCGTTCAAACTGTTATGAATGGCGTGTTTTCTTTCCTATGAAGTTATAAACAGCAGAGACGTGATATGTGCTGTGTTTATAATATCATATTGCCCTGAGCTGACCACACTAACACACTCAATTGGAATTCTTAGAAGAGGGATGTCCAAATTTTATTCTTGCAAGATCNCCCGCTCAGATTCTGAACCACCTGCTTCCTTTGCCGAGATACCGGGTGCTCATATTATAAGGCAAGGTTATAAAACCATCTTTTAAGATCATTTTAGTGAAAGTTTCATCCTTCAAGGCGTACCATTCACTGCTGAAATACTAAACAACCTGCTTCCATGGCCGAGATACAGGGCGCCCATATTATAAGGTAAGGTTATAAAACCACCATTTAAGATCATTTTAGTGAAAGTTTCATGTTCCTATCTCATAGAATTTAAGAACAATGATGAATAAATCATTTTCGAGCAAAATTTAAATGGCCGGCTGAATATATTACCGCCGGAGAGATGGCCGCGGAATTTAAATGACCGCGCAAAAGGGTTAACTCTGAAACAGTGGGGAATTAAGGTTACTATTAATAATAATAAAGGAGACATCACAAGACGCAGTATACACAAAATATAGGAAGAACGACTCCCATAGCGGAAGACTGATATATATAATATGAGAGTTTGAAATATGACATATAAGATGATAAATCTTAACAAAAGTTTAATATATAAATTTAATTATAGTACATGACGAATATACATTTTAAATCATTTTACAAATGACACATGATGGCGAGCAGTGCAATAGTTTAACGTAAATACCACACCTGAGGATGGCACAGTGATGCCGAAACATGTAGTGAAGTGAAAAGTGAGATTGTGTGCACTAGAAGATGGTCAATACATACACATCATGGACATGAATTAAGGTTATTTTTCTACATTTTTTGCTCCAAATTAATTACCTTCTCAGCAACCTCTTACATTTTAACCACTTTGAATCACCGTGTTACAACAGTGCAGAATGTTAAATAACTGTAGCTTCTTGGGCAATGTACCATTCAGTTCACAGAGTTGGCAGCAAGGTTGATTCAGTTCTTCACTGTTNGGGGAATTAAGGTTACTATTAATAATAATAAAGGAGACATCACAAGACGCAGTATACACAAAATATAGGAAGAACGACTCCCATAGCGGAAGACTGATATATATAATATGAGAGTTTGAAATATGACATATAAGATGATAAATCTTAACAAAAGTTTAATATATAAATTTAATTATAGTACATGACGAATATACATTTTAAATCATTTTACAAATGACACATGATGGCGAGCAGTGCAATAGTTTAACGTAAATACCACACCTGAGGATGGCACAGTGATGCCGAAACATGTAGTGAAGTGAAAAGTGAGATTGTGTGCACTAGAAGATGGTCAATACATACACATCATGGACATGAATTAAGGTTATTTTTCTACATTTTTTGCTCCAAATTAATTACCTTCTCAGCAACCTCTTACATTTTAACCACTTTGAATCACCGTGTTACAACAATACAGAATGTTAAATAACTGTAGCTTCTTGGGCAATGTACCATTCAGTTCACAGAGTTGGCAGCAAGGTTGATTCAGTTCTTCACTGTTGTAGATGGCAATGTTCCACCATACATAAAAGCAGAGATGTGTGATATATTGTCTGTGCATACTTACATTACAACATTACTGTCATTCTTACAGCACTGCCTATCTGATGACTCCCACTATCTATCTGCATGAAATGTGCATTTGTTAAATTTTGTGACACTAATAGTAAACAATTCTACAGATGTGGCATTATAAATATGCTAACAAGCTCTTTCTAAAATATTTTTGGCTGCTGAAAAGTATGCACATGAGGAATAAAAACTTTCCAAAACTTCTCATGTACAGATGTGATATAATATTGCACAAATAGGAGAATTACTTTCCTATCACCTGATGAAATAGTGTCAGATAACTGTCTTTCATTATTACGTTCATATATTTTTAATTTTTATAGAAGCAGTCCTGTCCATTCATGAACAGTAATTGTTCTCTTCCAATTGTACCATCAATATAGCATTACTTTCAGAAATTTAACGATTTCAGAGAGCACTGTTATTAGAAAGAAATCATTCCTTATAATGTAAAGTTGTCATGCCATGAAGATTTATAGAAGAATGGAGCTATAGCACCATCATTATTGACCTTGGTACTAGATGGAGGTGAGTGGTCAAATTCATGCCCCAAGAAAAAAGTCTGTATTACTCTGTGGATAGGAGGCTGGGTGGTCCCCTGAGCTAGTCTGGCTGCTGTGAATAAGAGAAAAATCTCTAGCCCCTGCCAGGAATCAAATCCCAGCCATCCAGCCTATAGCCTTCACTATACTAAATGAACTATCCTGGCTCTGAGTATAAATGAACATACAAAGAAATGGGGGTGTACAGATGTAGAAAATGGTGAGTTTCAGTTGGCTCAATATAGAAAACATCTCCATCAGATATCACAGTCAAGTGATTAGCACTCTTCAACATATCTGGAAGTTCCACAGTTTGAATCTTGGCCCCAAAGCCCAGGTATCCAGACAGATTTTTTTGTTTTCCTTAGCCTCTTAAAGCAAATGCTGGAACATTATCTGAAATTTGTTCTGACTGCATCCTTTAGTTCAAATTCATTCACAATTATCCTTCCATTCAATTCTGTATAACCAGTATTGTTGGAAAAGTAAATAAATAACCCATAAATTGACCATGAGTCAGCATATTTGAATTTATAATGCAGTATTTTAATTGTGCAGACTTTCTCCTTACAAACATGTATCTAGCGTAATGTTCTCAGTGCCTGTATCATTTCCTCTGCATAGAGAAATTCAGGGGGGGGGAGAAATATATGCAATTGGTTGTGTGGACTTTGATTTGGCAGATATAGCATATATGTAGGCGAGTCAAATGAAAACCTTAAATATTTTTTTGAGTATTATTTATTGTGCACAAGTGGTACAAAGCTGTATCACTTTTCAACATAATCTCCCCCCACGCTCAATGCAAGTCCTCCAGTGCTTACAAAGTGCATGAATTGCTTTAGAAAAAAATTCTTCTGGTAGTCTGCACAACTGCTCATGCACCGTGTGGCGTACCTCTTCATCAGAATGGAACATCTTTCCTCCCATTGCTTCTTTGAGTGGTCCAAACATATGGAAATCACTTGGGGCAAGGTCTGGTGAGTATGCCGGATGAGGAAGACACTCAAATGCAGGTCATTGATTCTCGCAACTGTTGTACGGGCAGTATGGGGCCTTGCATTGTCATGTTGCAAAAGGATACCTGTGGACAGCAATTTTTTCAAAATGTAAGGCGACAGTGGTGGCTGCATGAAATCTGTATTTAGCTTCCAGTTTCATGACAGCTTATAAACAACTGGAGTTATGCATGTGAAATGTTGTATGGAGATAATACAAATGTCTGTAAATTTTGATTTAAATACTATTTCAAAGTCAACAGTTACAATTCATGTGGATCTTTCATTTTATATGTAACAAATTTAGCATGCAGTAGTATAAACATTATATTTGAAAATGCAGACTGACTTTAATGTTTAATGATTTTATCAATATTTAACAAAATACAAAGCTAAATAATAATGAATCTATGAAGTGTAGTAACTGCTTTACTGTTCCCCCACTTTAGAGGCAACTTGTATCTGTATTAAGTGATCAACATCAAATTCACAAAGAAAATGATAAAGAAAATGCGAAGTATACATTCTAGCCGTTGTTCTTCCTTCTATTTAAAAAAAATAGACGAATTTGTTTTATTACAGGAGAGACAAGTGGCTGATGAAGCAGTGGTAAAGGCAGAAGATGAAAAAATGGGCGAACAAGGACATGAAATGGATTTGGAAAGTGATGGAACTTTGAGGTGTGTAGAATGTCCATATTTTTTTGTAACAGCTTAAGTGAATTAAATTAAAACCTATTAATCAATCTTTGTTGGGTTATGGCATCTTGCAGTGGCAAGAACTGCATACTGAGTTTCTAACGACTAGAAATTCAGCCTCAGCAAAATCATATTGAGTGTCCTTTTCTTGCAGTTTACAAAATCTGCTTCTGTTTTCAGAGAACTGGCGGCATTTCAATGCAAGGTATGCAATAAAGGCTTTAGGCACAAAACAGGGCTGAAATTACATTCACGTACTCATACAGGATGGGTGAATTATAGCAGAGTACATTTGTCTTATAAACCACATCTTATAGATCACTCATATTGTATTACAGGCTCAAAGACTCAGCTGTGTCATTTATGTAACAAAGAGTTCTCCAAACTTCATGAACATTACCGTACCCACACAGGAGAAAAACCATATAAATGTGGAGTGTGTGGCAAACTGTTCACTGTAAGAAGTTCTTTGACACGACACTTAACTGTCCACACAGGCTATAAACGTCATCAGTGTAATGTCTGCTTTAAACGGTTGAGTTCTACGCGTTCTCTCAGAAATCATGAACTTATGCATGAGAAGAGACTTTATCAGTGTCAAGTATGCCATGCTGAGTTCTCTAGGTCAAAGAATTTGAGTATACACTCACGATTACATTGTGAAGAGAACTGCAATACCAGTAGTCCCTCAGGTCACAAAAAACTGCATTCCTTCAGAAAGAAACATATTCGTTGTGAAATATGCTTTAAGAGAGTTTCAAATAAGGGTAATCTGTTTCAACATTACCGCACTCATGAGAAAGAATCTTCTAACCCTAGGGGAGTGAAACCATTTAAGTGTGACATATGTTCTAGGCGATTCTCAAGTGTTAGTACTTTCAAACGGCATTCCCGTATGCATAGGTGAAAAAGATGATGCCTCAAAACATGTTTCAATAATTGTAATCTTGAATAAAACCAAGTATTCCAATGCCTGCATGCACATACATAAGATTCTCACTATTGAGGCCCATATAGAATCTCATAGTTTGTGGTAGTGGAACATTTGTTTCTCCAAGAACTTTGATTTTTACTTCCCAATCATCATTTTGCCAATAATCCAAACTCGCCTATAACTACTTCTAAAGTGTGTGATAGGCTCAGTTGGCCAACATGTTATTATAATCTTGGTCCTTAGTTGGGGCACTTCATGAGTGCCTGACTTAAGAGTTAAACATTTACTGATGTACAATGGATGCATATGTGGGGTTGGATATTGAGGTAAGTCATGCAAAATCTGAAAGACTATGCCCCAGTTAACAAGACAGAGATGTTGACAGAATCACCATACAGCACATGCGTTTGCTTCTCCTTTGCACAAGAGACTGGATTATATGGGTATGCTAGTAATATTACAGAAGTATTTATTTCAGACAGTTCTTTGAAAGGAACAAGGTAACAGATACAAATATCCTGAATTATATCACCCTAAATTAGTTTATATTATTGCAGTGGTAGTGCCTTAAAATTAACTATACCTTCGTTTTAAGTCCATATCCCTAATCATAATATGTGAAAAAAAATTAAATTCACATGTATAACATTGTAATACAGTCCTCTTTAAGAAAAGTGTGATAAATATTGGTATCAGTTTGTACAGTAAGGTTCCAAATCAGATAAAATTAAGGGAAAATTTAAATTTATTTAAAAATTACTTAAAATCCGTTCTATTGAATCACACTTTTTATTCTGTTGAGGAATTTATGTAATTTTAAATTTTTCATATGTGTAAGCATAATCATTGTCTCTTGAAATGATAAATATTTTGTTTTCACTTAATTTTTATAATCTTGGAAACATTGCTTTTTCTGGTAATAGAAATTTTGTATGCAGGATTGTCGCATTGTATCTGGAGGCTGTATCGCCAAATATGGATTTATGGAACAAATAAAGACATATGATATACGAAATCCATCTCAAATAGAGGAAAAGGCCATGGAGAAAAAAAAATTCTTATATACCTTGACACCTCACTTTCAGTTTCATATCATTAATACTGTGCTTAATTTACTGACTGGACTGTTCTCTTACAACTGTCACAGTTAAATGTAAGTAAATCACAAAAACAATGGAGCAGTAAATATGCACTAATAGTGTGAACTGAATGAGTGAAATTTGTATAGTACTGTCAAGTTTCACTGAAAACAGAAATGCCAGTCGTTACTTAATGACAAGCTTTAATACATAAAGGATTCATAAAAGCAGTAAAGAGGTCGCAGTTTGTTAGTGACAGGATGTTGTACATAATATTAAGAGCCTGCTGAAGTAATATTCTTCTGAATACACATGACCCAACCAAGGATAAAAAAGAAAGGATAACTTTCATGAGGAACTAGAGCTTGTACTTGTTTAGTTTCCTAAGTACCACATGAATATTCCATTAAGATATTTTAATGTGAATACAAGAGAGAAGATATTTTATGACAATTTGGAATGAGAGTTTACATGAAACTACTAGATAATGGCATTATAGCAGTACACTTTGTAAAGATGGAGTTTGGGAAAGAGAGAGTATATGAAAACTTTGTGGGGTTATGTTGTGTTGTGTCATTACTTCAATGACAACCCACTTCTTCGAACAGTTTGTAGGTCCTGAGATGCTTGGCCGGTGAAGTAACGCGGAGCGCGCCGGTAGTAAGGAATGTTGGTTGCGGTGTGTTGAGGAGGCTGAGTCAGTTGACTGGCCGCAGTGTGGCCGTTGCTGGAGGTTGCTTGGTTGCTGGAAAAAGGTTCACTTGCCGAGCGCGGTCGCAGGAGTAGAGAGGCGGTAGCTATGCCAGTTGCCCAGTGTGTTGGGCATGACTACTGGCGAATCGAGGCGGCCGAGTTGCCCATTGAGTCGGGGGTATGACCGCCGGACAGCTGAGGCAGTCGTGCCTGGCGCAGCGAAGTGCCGATGCCTCCGAAGACCGAGTGCTGGTGACGAAGTGTGTTGATTTCTTGTAGACTGATCGAAGACTGACATGCGAGCTTGTGCTCCGCCTTTTATACAATGCGTGATGGCGGAGCGAAAATTGGCTAGCGCGTATGATGATGTGGATGCGGGCTAGCAGCAAGCGCTGTATAAATGCGGACGTTAGATGCAATTTGATTGGTTAGCGCGCATGCTGGTGCTGTGATAATATGTGGGATGTTCCCACAACTTCATCCAAATATGAGTTAAAGTAGCATGAATTATGGTTCGACAGTGATTACTCAAAGGAAGAAAAGTAACTTTCAGATTGCAGAATCCAAGCTAAAAGAATGGAGACAATATGAACAGTGTAAGACATGAAACTAGTAAACATTTTTGGGGGGTATATCTGAAAGACAACAGGAAGAACAGGTACATTAGGTACTTGAATACAGGCATAAATAAATTTAAGGTGGATTAGCAACCTACAACAAAGTTGGTAAAGAATTATATCTGCTTATGGATTCCCAGGATTTTGAACAGATGGTAGATTTGTCAGACACTGTATGTACAGGGAGTTAATTATGTTACACAGATTGAAATACACATATATGACTGGAACATCAGTATTTGAGCTTAATCCTTTTGATGATAAAGGTTTCAGGGTATAAATCACAAGGTACTGATCAAATTTGTGCACAAATGATTCAGCCAGATGATAAACAGTTATATTCTGAGATCCACGAACTTCCAAGTTCTGTTTGGAAGAAGGTGGGGCATGTGGGTGAGGCTCTATGCTACAAGCCAGATGGTTGCGGGTTCCATTTCTGATGAGGTTACTGGATTTTACAGTTGACCTAATCCTTCCAATCACACCATGGCCCTGGGCTCAACTCAGCCTCCAACAGAAATGAGTATCAGGTATCTTCCTGGGGGTAAAGAGCTACAGTGCATAAGACAACCTGTCATCTGTGAGCCAACTGTTTAGAAAATGTATCTCACAACCCTATGGGACTCCAGGGTCTGCTGTAGAGATAGCANGACTGTTTAGAAAATGTGGAAGCCTTGATATCTCACAACCCTATGGGACTCCAGGGTCTGCTGTAGAGATAGCATTACTTTTTTTTATTTTGGAATAAGGTAAAATTTCCACTGCAGTAGGACACTGTTATTACACCTACCAACAAGGAAATAAATCTGCAGGATTACTGAGAAGTATCACTATTATTAACCATACACAAGATCTTATCCAATGTTCTTGTTTCATGGTTAACACCATACAGAGATGAAATTACTGGGACCATCATGCAGATTTTGTCTGCAGTATCAACTACTGATCAGAAATTGCACAGTCATAAAATCTGCTGCCCATCACAGTTTACAATTTGGTATACCAAATACCATGATCTGAAGTGTGTTATATAAGTGTCTGATATCACATGTTTACAAATCTCAATTGAGACATGAAATCAAAAGTACTCACCTTCCAAAATGAGCCAAATATTCAGGTTGTGTGTTAAATGAATTGGGCAATTTTATAAGGAAATACTTTTTGTAGATAAAGCATTGTTTCATATTAATGACCACATTAATCAGTACTGCTGTCAAATCTGGGGAGCAGAACTGCCACATGAAGCTTTTGAGTTCACATGAGACACCCTGAAAGGTAATATGTTGAGTGGACTTCTGTATGACTTTGTGACAAGACATTTCTTTTTTCGCAGAAAACACCATTAAGGGAAGTATTTTTTCTTAAGATGACTGAATTGTTTGATTTCCCATAAACTGAAGACATTAAAAGCAAAAAAGGAACTGCAATTTTTTTCCCAGTAGAAAGAAAGTCCACCCCTTTTCAGTCATAAGGTCTGACATGCTCTAAATGCTGGGATCCTAACTGATTGGATGGACATATAACTTGCCTTACAAGAAATCCAGCTCTTATATCATTGCATTTTTCATACAGGGCTCTGTTAAAAACTGCGTCTGCACAGAGAAAATCTATGACTTGCATCACCTGTAGGAGAGAATTTTGCTACTATAGTGACAATCACTCCAGACATACTTTGCCATACCAGGGACAAAATAAAATACTGTATGAATGTCTGTATGGCTACACATTATGCGGACACCAAAACTCAGTATGAATGTTAGAGAGCCTTGATAGTTGCTTCAGATATTAAAATGGTACTTTGTTTTGTTCCATATTTCAGAACTTTTATTTCTCCGATGACTCTGTACTTCAATTGGCATAATTTATGCTACATTCATCACAAAACTGAATTTATAAAATTAATATTATAAACTAAATTTCATAATGAGAAAGAATTGGATCTATATACCCCAATACACAGAAGAAAGGATGAATAAAACACTGATGCATACATAAGAAACTTGTTTCATTCCTGAGCTGGAGTCATTCTTTACGTTTACCTCTGAATAGATTTATTTTTGGATTATTATTATTATTCAGAGCATAATCATATGCAAATTTAAATTCTAAATGAACGACTCCACAGGAATTAGCACCAATGTTGGGTGAAAATATTAACAGCTTTCCTGCCTAAGATATGTCAATATTGACGGTCTTTATAAGCCACTTATAATTTGATTCAGAGGTTATTTAGTGACACCCTATAAAATACAGCACTGATCACAAGCCCCATAAATTTATACTGAAATCATTATATGTATCCAAATAAGTAATATCATTTGCCTTATACTCTATATAACCCAAAAAATGTGCAATGATCTAGGGGGAGGGGATTATAACTTCAGTTCACTAATCTATATTTTCTGCTGAATATACAATACTATTTTTTTTGCATGCCAAAAGATAAAGAAGTTTCAAATATTCCATTGTATTTTTGATGGAACAAGATGAACATGATCTATATGCATATACAAATTGTATATTTTTGGTTGAGGAAGTGGAAATTAAAGCCCGTCAGTCTGTGTCCATTTGTACCTCACATCAGCAGAACTCCTGTTTATGTAACAACTGCATCAGTAATTCATACTATCCAGGACATTTCACAACTTAAGTCATCAATTCAGGAGGTTATTCCTGAGGTAACTCTGATTAAAAAATATTACATCAACATTGGTATGATTCTCAGTGCTTTTGGTTCTGTAAGTAGGGAAAGTTAAGATGATATGAATACGAAACACACGACACTTCACGATTGCACATCATTTTATATACTTGACTTTCACTGGTGTAACAAATATTAAAATGTCTGCCATCAGCGTCAGTACACATTCTTGCTTGTTTCACAGCAGAACATGTACTTGACAATGAGTGTGATGGTCACTGATGTGTGGGGTTGCATCCACAGTGCTGCAAATTTAGTCCTCATGTGTGTCCATTTGTGTTTACAACAAGATTCTTTCTTGTATCCCCATCCATGGATGTGGCGGGGAAGGTGAACTAAGGTCTGGTGATGGCAGTAGCCAATTCTGATACACTGTAAAATGTTGACAGATGTATGTGGGCGCTCCAGGGTCTGCAAGATCATGCACAAACATCAAGTATCATTTCTTGTCAATAAACATTTGTTATATTAAAATCGTCTTAAATTATCCTGTATATAGCTTTGTAAATGGGGAGAACCATACCTATGTTGTTGTGACATTTTTCACTCAAAATGAAATTCACGAATATCCTTCTAAAATTATGACATAAAATAGTTAAACACCTTATACCATCTTGAAAGATGGAGTGATTGATAATGAGTTGAGAAGGGTGTGGAAGGAAGAGGTCATGGCCTAACTTAAGCACTATCCTGACATTTTCTGGATGGACTGAGGAAAACCATGAAAAACCTCAATTGCTATAGCAAGTCTCTGGGCTGAGGTCTGAACACAGGCCATCAACCTGCCTGCAAAACTCAGCAGATCTCTTGCAGATCAGTCCATATGAAGTATCAGATAGAAGGTGATTCCACTTGAATCACTCTGAAGCTATGTGACTTTAATTCCTATCTTCGACAACACCAATATATCAGCTACAGGAATGCC